TCTTTCAGCGGAGATAACAGGCATTGACTTGCACTAACAGGGCTGACGTTCTGAGATAAATGCCGCAATCAGAGGTTCTTTCATTCTCTCACCACTGTCACTTACACTTACTGCACAGTGCAGCTCTACAAATGCAGCTCTTCAGCAGGGTACTTGAGGGCTTAAGTCCTGTCACAGTGAACTACGGAGCTGTTGGTAAGCCACTCTGTCGTTAACCCACTGAGTCTGTGTACAGGGAGAAGTACTTCAACACTACTCTGAGGTGTTTATCTGGGCAGTTACATTCTTCATTCAGCTGCTCACAGTGAAGGTATTCCTTCCGCATATGTGCGTAAACACACATCTCTTATCTGATCATCAAAAGAGAAGACAAAACCATCAAACATGCAAATTAAACCTCATGCAGTTCCTTTAAGGCAGTTACAGGCTGCCTAAAGCAAACTTAGTGCAGAAAAGCAAAAATATTCCAGGAGCATTCACAGGGGAACCCTTGCCCCTCCGCTTGGCTTCATCATTCAGAAATAACCTGAAGAGAATGAAGGCACAAAGAAATTTGGTGTGTCTACAGTCGGTGCGCTGATCACCACGGCTGCCTCTGGAATGCGTTCTCAAACCATCTGGGAAATAACGGCAACACTCAGTTCAGCTGCCTTATTAAGAACAACACAAATGGTGCATAAAAACCTGCATGAATGCCAATTTGAAGACTTCTTCTGCCCACAAGCAGTAAACTAAACAGATGAGAGCAACAGCAGTGACAGGGGTCAGTGGAGAGATGAGGACCTTTCACATTTGTTGCACATTAATGGAGATGCGGCTGATCAAACCAAAATGGAAGGGACATAGTGTATTGTAACTGAGCAGCTTTTGATAGAATTGCATACAATTTGACAATTGCACAAATTACGTTCTCCTTGTACGCACATTAGATCTCAGTTAAATGCATGGCTGTTTAGGCACTTCACTGGTGTTCAAATCGATGCTGGACACATATCACAAACATAAATGTGAACCTTCACACGAGTGCCAACCAACTGCTGCACTGACTCCTGTGTACACAGTTTTAGGCAGGTGGTCATAATGTTATGGCTGATCGGTGTAATAAAATAGTTAACAGCACGTTGTGTCCAGCGTACTGTAGCACAAAAATCTTTGTCATGTTTCCCACAGACCTGAAACACACTCAAAAATCTTCTTTGTACAATAGCAATTATTACTTTTTTGTAATTACGTACATTTCCCATGATAAATAGAGCAGCAGAGTATAAGATAATACAAAGAGAAGAAACAGAGGAGAGAGTCAGTGCCAGAGGATGTGTATTGTCTTCTTCAGGGCTGAGCTGTTTAATTAACTTTGCTACACTCACCACCTCCAATCTTGAGCAATTTCTGTTTTTCTTCTTGCTTCCATTGTTTCATTGTTTATTTTAATTAGAAATAGCAGATTACAACCAGAATCCCACAGCAACCATGACATTGTCACACTAACAACAACAAATGGTTCAGTGTCATACAAAATGATCATTAAATCAATAGATGTACAGTAGAATCTGCAGCTTTTCCTCCTGTTCAGTCTCTGCAATGAAGTTATGTCATCTCTGACCAGTTTTTATTCGTTTTCAGGATTAGTACTTCCTTTTTAAAACGAGGCAGCACTTCTGCTTCCTTTCACCCTCAGAGAGCTCCTCTTCTCACTCTTTCTCTTCTTTTCTGTCAAAAAATCTTCCCCTCCACCCTGTCTGTTTCCACCCCGCTAACGCCCCCCTCTGTCTGTGGCTCTCCTCTGCCCGTCTCAGGGAGGGATGGAAGAGGAGGTGAGAATGAGAGTCTGACAGGAGGTACTCCCAGCACACCCGGGACATGTGGGCAAAATCACAGTGCCCGCCATGCACAGCGTATTACTTTCTGGTTTAGAAATTACTCACTGAAATGCTGTTGAAATGGTTCATTCTAAGTTGTTTAGTGCTGATCTTCCCTGTATCCTGGGAATTCTGTAGATAAAAATATTTTTTAATGATATGTATTTGGCTAATTGCAAAATGTTCATACTTGACGTATCTGCAAAACACTGGCTGATAATGTATTTCATTCCCCTGCAGTGTCCTATCATGACTGAGATTAATGACCAAGGCCTACAGTCAAATGGGGTACAGGAACAATTAATGTATACATGGCACGGACACAAGTATATATGCAAGGCAGCAAATGAGGGAAATGGGAACAGGTGTGTGGGAGGAGAAGGTCTACTGACTAGGAATAGGAGACAGCTGAGCTGGAGAATCTGGGAGTCAGGTGACTCGGACAGGGACATCTGGTGGGCGGATGGCCGGCATAAACAGGGATGAGACAGGAATCAGGACATGTCCACTTTTGGAACACAATGTAGACTCATAGCAGCTGAAGCATTATTAATGTTTTTGTGGATATGGTC